TACTCTGCTATTTACACAGAAATGGATGATGATGGATCTTTTATCTCGAGACAGGCAAGATTTTAACAGGTAAATTATCATTTTAAGGGCAAAGGAACCAGTGGACATGCTGGAAGATGGATTATTAGATTTTTAAGGGCCACACTTGGCACTTAGGTATCCACTTCATAGGAGACATATCTTTGTTTTTCTCAATCTCACATATCAGATTCCCAGAATAAGATTAGCTGATGAAGCAAGAGGAGTAAGCTTTCACATCAATAGCATTTAGAGATTGGTGAAATTTTTTCAATTATTTCTAAAAATTAATCTATTGGAGTAAGGAATCATGCAAAAATTCATGGTTTAGGTTAGACTATTAAGAATTCAATAGGAATGAGTACACGAATGAGTTCAGTCTTGAACAGCTTGAAAATGAAATGTCATAATATAATGTGTTTGAAATGGTTGTAGGAGTTGTATAGGAAGTTTGCTCTGACTGTGGCCCTAGGTAAAATTTACCAAAAATTGAAATGATTTATTGTGATGTTTTTTTAAGGGATTGCTTCCCTTTTTCAGATTGGTCCTTTCTCTATGAATTTCTTCTATATTATTTTATACCATTTATAGATTAATGGCCCCATAAACAACTAGTTAATTTTCTTTGCACATGATTTGGCATTTATATTAATGTTTTGTGAGATTCTGAGAGATAAAAGATGGACCAATTATGTTATTCTATTTTGCAGCATAACAACTGCAGTCGTGCTTGGTGTTTTATATGGTGTTGGCAATACCTTTCAACCACTTCCTGAAGATATTTTCCTCTATGGTATCCATCATTTAAACTTATCACATGTATTGCCCAGAGGTGTAACCTAGTTTGCTAATTCTTTGATTGTGAAAATCATACTCTTAGACAAATCTTCTTGCGAAGGTGACTCGAGATATTTGTTTTTGGTCTTTTGTGTTTAAACAGATGCCAGATTCTTTTAGCTTTTAATGTTCTCTGTTCTAATTCATGGAACCTAGTTAGTTTTCTTATTATATATTTATTCTGATATTGGGTTTGGATACACAAATCTGTTAGTAGAACATTGACTAATTTTTTTTACAGATTTAAGGGAACCATTCAGTCTGAAGAAAGGTTGGCTCCTATGGGCAGGGATTGGTCTTTTTGGAGCCATTGTTGCTATCTCATTGACTGGAGCTGCTATGTCACTGTTTAAGGGGGAGAACCCACAAAGAGAGGTTAGAAGTTCAAACATACACATTGTTTATTGTTAATCACAGAGGGAAGATAGTAGATTCTACTTTCATTTACCTGACTGAATGCATGAATGAGGCTGATTTACTCGATTTTCTCTCTTGAGAACATTGAGATGTAAGCTAGATTTGTTATTTTCCTGATCAGGAGCAACTTGATTGATGTTCTCACGGACATGATTTTTGTTATCATATACCCTCTGTTCTTTTTAGAACCATAGCTATCCTTTGTGAATTTTGATATTTGTTTCAGACTGATGCTCTTGTGCAATTACTTCCATTAATTGGATCTTCGAATATCAGGTACTTGGATTTCCTTCATAGCAGTAAATATCTGGTTAAATTATTGCCACAAGTTCTAGGAGGAACCCTGACGTCAAAACTTTTTGCTATTACTCAGGTTTGAGATTCAATTGTATGATTTAATTATTTCATTGCAGCACTGCTTGCTTGGTGGGTGTTACGGGTGTTTTTGCTCCACTTCTTGAGGAGACTGTATTTCGAGGTTTCTTTATGGTGTCCCTCACTAAGTGGTACAGTTAATTCTCTTATTATTAGAAAGCAAATTTCTTTCTCAAGGTCGTTATTTTTCATTTGTTTATTTATATAATTCTTTTTCATTTCTTTCCGAATTCTTATAACCCTCTCCTTCAATCCCCTCTGGCAGAGAGGGGAAAGAACATGGATAAACAAGGAATTTAGTGGCATGCTCATTCTCATGACAGATAAGATATAGAAACCAGTGCATTTTTGTCTATGTCGAGGTTATATTCTTGTCTTTTGCAAGCAAATGTTTCTCTTTTTTTACTTGCAAATCTTGGCTTGGGCTTCTGTCAAAAGAAAACTGTTGTAAAGTTGTTGCAGATCAATTTTTTGGGATGGTAGTTGGCACGGTGTACCAAAATGCAGGTGCTTGCAACAACTAGAAGTTGAACAGCATTAGTAAATTCTAACTGGTAAAAAAAATGAAAAAATGAAACTACCACATTGGGTATTGATACGAGATGTCTATAGTGATAACTATAGATGCTTGGAACAACTTAAATTAGAAAGCTGTGTATGATACAAAATGTCTACACTGGAAATTGCATATGCTTGAAACAGCTTCAAGTTAAAAAAGCACAGTTAACCCGAACTCTTCCGGTAGAGTGAGTGTCAATGAAACTACTAAGTTGGGTTTGTCGGCATATAATCTCTTAAGTCTTTGTCAATTGAATGTACAGACAGATAAACCACCCATGCTATGCAGTATAAAACATTGAGCAAACAGTGTTCAAAGAAAATGAGAATGAATATGGTCATAATGAGTTTGAAGGAGCATTGCCGAGGACATAAGAAGGAATACAAGCTGTGATCCTGTTCAATGGGTTACTAAAGTAAAACTATGCAGCATTAGGCTCCTCTTTGCGAGATAGTGTATACCCTATGATTTTTTTTTGTTTCTTGGACACCTCATCTGTAGAAATATATATTTTTTTTCATAGTTGTGAAGCCTGCATGCTATAACACTGGCGGGATTGAATCTTCACTTTCTCCATGGAGAGAGGAGGAAATAACCAACTGGGTTATTGCTCAGTGGTTGATTCAGAAAAATCTTTGTTTTCATTATTATTAATCAGCGGGTGACCAGTTGAGCTTTGTAAATGTTGATTTTAACTAGTTCTCTATCTTAATGCAATATTTGGTTTCTTTAGGGTTCCCACACCAGTTTCTGTCATTATCAGTGCTGCTGCATTTGCCCTTGCTCATCTCACTCCTGGAGAGTTTCCCCAGCTATTTGTTCTGGGTAATGTTTTTATACAACAAGCGTATATGTTTGGCATTCCTGCATTTTAAGTTCTCCATGGTCATATCTCTAGCTATAATACTCTGTTCTAATTTCAAACTTTGTGTCCTTCTACAATCAATGTAGGAACTGCATTGGGATTTTCATATGCTCAAACTCGTAACCTTCTTACTCCCATCACGATTCATGCTTTATGGAATTCAGGAGTTATTTTGCTGCTTACCATTCTTCAGGTAAAGTTGCAATGGCAAAGAATTTTTTTTTCCTTAAGTTTCCTTGTATACTTTGAGTTTTTAGCAGTGAAAAAATGTCTATTTACCATACAGTGATCTAATTTGAATGCTATATATTCTACAACGAGTGTTGAGAATTTTTTTTCTTTTGTGCACCAGCTCCAAGGATATGATATCAGGGAACTTTTGCAGGCAACCTAAGAGGGTTTGGGTTTCCTTTGCTTGACTGCCCATATGGACTCTGTCGCCTCCTTACCTCATTCCTGTACACCATATGTAGGAGACTTTATTTATGTTTCAACATGTGTACAGAGGGAAACTATTGGTGAAAGGATATGAATTTGTAAGATGAAACAATTGACTCCTTGTAATTAGAAACATGGGCCCTTAATTTTCACTGCATTAGCAACTTATTTTCCCAGCCTGCCCTGAAAAAGAAAAACACGAATTTCTTAATTTCCTTCACCCTCTATCTATTATTGGTGTGATTTTGTTTTTGATAGTCAAGATGGTGGACATATTGCTCTTCTCAAGCAGCTGTTGAAAAGGTGACAAAACCTTATAATAGCTTCAAGCCTGTTACTGACATTGTGAAAAACACAGAAGAAGAAGCTATGAGCAGACTGGAAAATGATTAACGATGACAGGTTATTTCATCTCTGGCTCTACTCGGTACAATCAGCAATTAGTTTGGATCAAGTAGTATATTTCTGTTTCAAGTGCACATGCTCAATCCATTTCAAGTCCAGCTATGTTTTCTTCTCTCTTATAATTTCCACACTAATTGTCGTCATCTTTCACTGTTTCTCTTCTTGTTTATTTCTATTTTATTAAGCTATACTTTATGGATAACTAAGCTTCAGAGAAGCAAGTCGGAAAGCTCAAAGGACAGTCATAGTATATACAATCAAAGGGAAATCCTATATTGTCTTGGAGGTATGAGTAGTCTTTTAATATTTTATAGTAATTTAGTAACTTTTGTGTACTCAGCTTTTAGTATTACATGTGGTTATTGCACAATATATATTAGGTGAGTTTTGCACAAATTTATTAAGTTACTGTGGATTATTAGAAAATAACTGCTAGGATTGATGCCTTTGAGTCACCATGTAGCACCCATGATATGAAGGATGGTAAGAACGGATTATCAATGTTGGATGATTACTATACAAATAAAGGTTAGATGCATTGAGTCACCATTATAGCACGCATAATATAAAGGATAGGGAGGACAGGTTATTACACAATGTTAGATGATTACTGCATAAAGGTTACTATAAAATGTTAAAAAGTTAATTCAAGACAAGATACTTTTGGGTCACTATATAATAGCACAAAGACTTTACAAAGGCTGTCAAGGGTAATCCAAGTTAGGAATTTGTTAAATCAAGGAAGAAAAATAGAATCGATTGAAAAGTTTAGGAATATCTTGTTTCTTATCTAAATCATTATAATTATATGATCTGTAAACTGTGCCTTTTATATATTGGAGCAAAGAAGTTTAAAAGATAAATTACATGTCGAGGGGTGAAAATAGTTTCTTTATTACCGATATGCTTTTGTTAGTAATTACAGTGCTTGCTGTAAATCCTAATTAATTACTGGAGCCTTTTGCAACAAGTTGATAACAGTGTACTAATAAAATAACAATGTATATTAATTTAGTAGTAGTGTAGTATTAATTATTTTGCATAATGTTACTGAATTATCAGAAAATATTGACAAATTACTGCACAGAGGTCTGAGAAGTTTGATATATTTAAGACATCATAGATTTCTCATTTGACATGGATATCATCAGCTCTTAGTTAGGCTGGAATCGCAATGCATAACCTCACGAGGACAATGTTACATCATTCAAACCATTGATTTGTGATAATTACACGAGCTTTTGCCCGTGTGTGTTTCTTCTCCATCTTTCAATCACAAGTAGCTAGTTAGTAGTTTTAATCTCCCAATTATCCAAATGACCAAGTGTCTTGGAGGGTAAGAAGTGACATGGTTTTATGCAAAACTTGCACTTCTTTTTGTACTGTATTGAGATTAAGAAGGTGAAGACGTTTTATTGAGAGAAAAAATATTTTTTCTTTGTCAAATTCAAACGTAGTAGGAATAGCATTAATTTATTGTAGCTTGATATATAGAGAATTTTTCAATTGCATTTGTTAGATCATTAGAATCTTCTTATAAAGAGTATTCTACTTATGAACCGAGACATTTTTTTTTTGAAGAATAAACTACTAACAAAATAAATTTGTATTAAGATATCTAAATATGTCCTACTTCATCGATATTATATTTGAAAACTAATTGTTAACGTTCTGCTTATAGGCTTTATGGTTTAAAAGGTCGTATTGATCTCATGGGTTTTGTTCAATAGAGATCTATTTTGGTTAAATTAATGTAAATTTTTCATGCGTGGAGACAATTCTCATTTCCAAATAAAACATGTTCAAGGAGAAAAATTAAGCCATACACTATTTTAATCTAGTTAGATCTGAATTCTAACATATTATTATTACAATATGTAAAAATTTAATGGTTAACAATTTGCCTTATTAATGTAAGTTTTATAAGTTCATTAAACCAGAGAATTAATATTATACTAAATGTCATTTTACCCATATGAAAGATAGAATTTAGGATGGATAATATTTGACTAAACGAAACTCAGAACCACTTAAGATATTCAAATTGGTTAAAGCTCATCATGAAATATGACAAATATATGATGAGATCATGACCTTCCCTGTCAAAGTAAGCATCTACATCAGCAGTTATTTTCAATTAAAAGTCGGTTAACTGGTAGTGTTTTTCAAAGTGGGGTTGGGAGAAGGGGAGGAGGGTTATAATGTTCGCGTAGAAAGAGGCATAGATGCTTGAGCTTGAAGAGTTTGACCCTTTTTATTTTCTTTTTTAATTTTCTTGTGTTAATTTTTAAACTTTGGTTACACGCTTGGGTAGCAAACCCTAGGTCAATAAACAGACAAAAAGAGTTGCAATTGATGGGCTATTTGGGGAGTTTCACTGAATTTGGAGTCCCAAGTTTGACTCACTCACCTCCACCCATTAATTTCATGGTACTACACTTGTTACCCAGTTACTCGACATTAGTTATAACCAAAGTTTGGAAGTATGTCAAAATTAGACTTCTATTTAAACTTTAGAGTTCTCAAAAACCCATAAGATTTGGTTTAATGGGTAATTAAGATATGTTCTTTTTTTATTTTTTATTTTATTTTGATACACGTTTACTTCTACTATTTCAAAAATAAATATATTTATTATATTAAACGAATGTAGACAAATACATTCTTAAAATTGTTCAAGAAAAAAAAAAAAAAAAACTATTGACTTTTTAGTATAAACATGAGAAAGTTCACTAGTAATAAATATCCTTATGGCCAAAAATCAAACTAGTGCTTTGAATTAATCAAATTCTAAAACCTAAATGTTTATGGTGATTTTAATTAGTGTTACCGAAAAGCAAAAAAGTTGAGCAATTCTATGGTTAGTTTTCCAATGTCTCCACAAAATAAGAGGGACTTCTTTAATTTGACTTTTCCTCCCACTCCCCATATTTACATGACCCAGATATCATTTTCTTTTCTTTTTTGTATTTTCAGGTGTGTCTCACTATTTTCCTATGTAATTATGTATACATGGATCACCATTAAACAACTCTAGTACTGTAATTATGGAGCACATGGAGTATTATGGCTTGAAACTTGTCGTTAGCTATCGACCACAAGCAAGCAGCTTTAATTAGCATAGAAAGCCTACATATTTTATTTTCATTGCTATCTATCTTTATGTGTCTTTACTTAATTAGTACAATTGCAATGAGCTTTAATATGTAGCTTTGATTTTGAACCTTGTTCCTTACGCTTTTCCTTAATTTCTTGTCTTTTCAAAATCAAGGAGATATATATGTTTAGTTTAACGCATACATATCATTGTCGTTTAGCCTACTCTATAAACTTTTTCTATGTTTGCCCTGGTCATTAACATTGAATGAAAATTAAGAGCAAACCTTCTGGTGATTGTACATTAGAAGGATACGAGTTCCATATATTGCTACACCTTTGATGCAGATTATAAGAAAAATCAGATAGTTGCATGTATAAGTAAATTAGGGAAATGAACATTATACGAGATGGAAAAATGTTTAGGATATATTTTCCTTAACACTAGGCTCCTTCTTTGTATCTTAATCTATCAATACTTATATATTATGAAGTCATATAAGTTTAAATATATTGATTTTCACTTAACATGAGGCAAATCGCTAAGAAATTGCACGAGACTGAGCATAATTTGACTGAATTAATATCATTTGCATTTTCTTTAGAATTATAACAATCTAATATCAATATGATTGTATACATAAAATGTTTATCTGACATAAGCGAAATGAACTACATTTTTAACATTTCGTATTTTTGGTATTAAGTGAAACAAAAAGTGACAATGGATAAATTGAGGCTAAACAAGCCACAATAGAGAAAGAAGTGGTATATGTATGATAATGGTATGTTAGAGATATCAGGTGTGAATAAGTCTCTAAAGGTTCTTTTATTACTATTTATTTATATAATTTTTTTTAAAGTTTATAATGGGATTAAGAGACTTCGATGTATTAATTTTTTTTTTAATTGTCTGATTCAATGAATGATTTTAAATATTTAATATGAAGTTCATCTAAAATTCTTTTTCTTTTGTAACTTTCACTACAGAATGGGAGAAGTTGGTTTTAAATCAAAATTGCAGGGGCCAAAATGAATACAAATTTTATGAATCCATTTTAGATATAAGGCATGCTCGGTTTATGTTTCTTTTATTCATGTTTGGATTAAATTCAAATTTTGTGAAACTTACTCAAAATCTGAATCATCGTCATCTTTAGTTTACTATATCCTAACATCTTTTCAATAAAAAGAGTGACAAAATATAGAGGTATATACGAAAATATAATAGTAGTAAATGGTAAATAAAAATATACAATAAAAAACAAAAATAAACTTGCATAAATTAATTTAACTAATTTTATCGCTACAACAAGTCGGACCGGGCAGTTCATTTGAAACCACGATGAATTAAGAAATTAGAATCTATTTTTTTAATAAATACATAAACCAAATATTTCACATGTTAAATTTATATGCGAATTCTTGATTTTCATCTTTAAGGCCATACACATGCACAAAGTCAATTTTATCAAATCAGAATTTGATAAACTCGGAAAGATAGGTTAATTTAAAAGGATCAAAACTCGAGAGATACTATTTCTAAACATTGGCTAGTGGTCCTTATAACTTTTCTCCCCTAGTTTGAACAATTTAAATAGATCCTTTTTGACTAAAAATCACACGTACTTCACAATTGTAATTAATTATAAGTAATATGTATATTTGAAAGAAGTTAAATATATAATTATATATATATATATATATATATATATAAACTGACAAAGTCAGTGGAATAGAAGCTCTGGGGAATGGAATAGAAACGGGATTTTCGGATTCTGAGAACCTAATATCAATTCTTTAATCTTAAATCAGTCTCATGGGAATTTTACAGGTTTGAAAAATTATTTGAATATTTATTTAAGTCTGAGCCTTGTGTATTGGGAGGTGGTCTGGGTTCATGTTTCCATATATAAATTTGTTTGTAATTGAAGTTTGCTTTGATATTTTGTCTTGATTTGTACTGGATAGACAGCAAGATTTACATTGGATTATACTATATGATATATGTGAAAATTGAAGTTGTATACACACACACAGATATATATATATAATAATATATAGAGCATTAATTATCCCCAGGAGACTGCTGAATTTCTAGCTGTCTAGAGATTCCTCAATTTGGACTAAACAAATTAGCCAAACCCTAAACTGGGTTTTCACTAAATTGATTACAAAATGTTTGAAAAAAAGTCTCAAGCTGAAAACCCATTTTTCCTTGCTTAATTAGGTTTCTTGATAGTTGTTCTTTAATTAATTATATATATATATGTATATAGATATATTGCAAATCACAGAGTCCTTTAAAAGTCACCAGAAAAGGCGGCTGATCCCTCGGGTGCAGACTCCCTTACAGGAAGCATATAATGCCCTTCAAATTAACGCAACTTCTTCATCTCCCTTCCACTTCACTCTTTTTAGGGTTTGCTTGCTTCTGTCTAGAGAGTGTCCTTAATAATCATCTTCCTCATCTTGTTTAGCTTTCTGGTTCATTAGTTTTTTCATATCAACTGTTGTAGGGTTTACACTTGTTTCTTCAAAGTTTATAGAGAGAGAGATAGAGAGCTTTAAAGGGTTTGATGGAGGAGAGAAATGATGGCGAGAAGCTGGAAGAAATTATGCTTCCTGGTTTTAGGTTTCATCCAACAGATGAAGAGCTTGTTGGGTTTTATTTAAAGAGAAAGATTCAACAGAGACCTCTCTCAATAGAACTTATCAGACAACTTGACATCTACAAATATGATCCATGGGATCTTCCAAGTAAACTCTTTTTCTACTTTCTCTTTAAGTTTCTTTCGAGAAATAAATTTTTTTCACGTGTTATCGTTATTTTAACTAAACTAATCTTACTGTTGTTATTAAACGTGCACGTGAACTTTTGTTATCTTATTCTTGAGTCTTACTATGGTTTCTTAGGGTTTCTTTTTCTCTTTAAGTTTGTTATTTAAATTAATAGAATCCAATCGTCATTAAACGTGCATATGAACTCTTGTTGTTGTATTCTTGAGTCGTGCTCTGGTTTCTTAGGGTTTCATTTTTTGTGACATGTATAGAGTTAGCGACGACCGGAGAAAAAGAATGGTATTTCTATTGCCCTAGGGATCGAAAATATAGAAACAGCGCACGGCCTAACCGAGTAACCGGTGCCGGATTCTGGAAAGCTACTGGAACTGATCGGCCTATCTACTCCTCTGAAGGTACCAAGTGCATTGGCTTGAAGAAATCCCTTGTTTTCTACAAGGGCAGAGCTGCTAAAGGCATCAAAACTGACTGGATGATGCATGAGTTTCGCTTACCTTCTCTCACTGATTCCCTCCTTCCCCACAAGAAATTCATTGACAAAACCATCCCTGCAAATGTATACATCTTCACCATCAACTTCTATATAACATATAGTTTTATATCTTTATATTTACGGTGATTATACTTTGTGCAGGACTCATGGGCAATATGCAGGATATTCAAGAGACAAACTCAACGGCTCAAAGAGCTTTATCTCACTCCTTCGTTTCCCCACTTCCTGAAACCAGTACTACATCTGATCATGACATATCTAACAAAGGTTCAAATAATACCCAGTTCAGTTCTGATTCAATCTCAATCTTGACTACAAGCAATTCTTCCATCCATTTCAACCATGAAAATTTTGATCATCATATTGTACAACAGCCTGTTTCTCCTTTAGACCATTTCTCCACCTCCTACAAACCTTTGATAAACCCTAAAATGGCTGCAACAAAACCATCTCCTCATCATCAACTTCCCATGACAGGAGACCTAACCAGCTTCATATTTTCTCCCCTTGAACTCTCATCACCTCCGGCCAAACCCACCGTAGACCTTTCCTCCATGCTCCTAAACATGTCGTCTGCTTCGATGCTTGGAGATTATGGTACTAGGTCAGGTTCAGAAGGGATAGATTTCGGTGCATCCCAAAATCATCAGTGTGATCATGGCTTCTCAATGAGTTTTCCAGTACATGATCTTCAAGGAAATACTAATAATGTTATGAACGAAGGTGGTCCTTGGCCGGAGACCATTACTACTCGATCCTCGATGGGATTTCCACCAGGATTAATTAGTTTGCCTGTTAGTGTTAATGGTGATCATCATGGTTTGAGGTCAAGCTTTCTATGGGATCCTACATTTTGTCCTACTTGATGATCAGGTTTATAGACAACTGTATAAGGTTATTAGGTTTAATTACATTCCCTAACTAATAATTAGCTTAATCTAATTATTATCAGGCATGGTTATGTTAGGATAATTAGATTAGAGATGATATTATCAACATAATCATTAATGTAGAATATTTTTTGTTTTACTGTTTGCCTTGAAGGCATTTTGTTATTGAAATAGAATATATGAATGCAAGCTTTTTCTAAGGTGTTCCAAGTTAAGCTCCCAAGTCAAAATTGAACACGTATATACATATATATATATATATACACACACACACATATATATATTATATACACATACGTACATGTTGGACGTGCATATATTGAGAAACATAAGCATTAATTAAAAAAAAAAAAAAAAAGATCGCTGCTATCAAGAATTTTATCACAAATATTAATGAATTTCCACACATTTCTAATTAAGTGGAGTCACTGTTTGTGATAATTAAGAATGCTAATACATATTAATATATATTATTAATTACTAATCAAAATTTAATTTAATAATTAATAAGTAACTTCGAGTTAATACTACACTCTTATCGTGTTATAATTAATATTTTATATAACATTTATTAATAAACATACAGAACTAATTAATTATATACGGTAAACGTCTACTCCAAAAAAAAGTTATAGTCAATGTGAAATTATATATATATATATATATAGAACTACACATGTACTGGTTATTCTTTTTAATTTGCACGTGTTTTTTTGTTTCACCTTCAATTTAAACTTTGAAGAAAAGTCAGAAAGGGAAAATGCAGAACTTTTCTTGAGGTACATACATACATACATATATACATACGTGTGTGTGTGTGTACATATATATATACATATACATATTTGCTACCATGCATATAATGTATACAAAAACACTAGTGTTCAAAATGAGGGAGCTTCTCGGCCGGTAAATGTGCTTAATTTTTGTTTTTAATTTGAACTTTGAAGAAAAAGTCTGAAAGGAAAAATGCAGAACTTTTTCTTAACGTACGAGTTCCAAGTTAGGGTCCCAAGTCAAGATCGATGGTATTTACATATATAAGTATACACACACACACACACACATATATATATATATATATGTGTGTGTGTGTGTGCTACCATGCATATATATATATATATATATATATATATATATACACATATATACGAACCGGTACTGTAAATGAGGCAGCCTCTTTGTACGCTTAGTTGGTGAGCTTCAATTTTTATATCACCTTTTGAAACAGTAGTTTATACTTATATAATTATTATACATTCACAAATTCTTGAAAACTTGAAATATGTGGATGTAATTATATATATATATATATATAATGATCGCTGCTCTCAAGAGTTGATCCAAATATTAATGAACAAGTGGACTGTTTATGTTAATTAAGCACATTAATTAGTAATTAATTATGGTCAATGTGAAATTATAGAGATAAACTTTACATGCATGTATTAATTAATTTTTAAAATTTTATAAATAAAAAAAATAATTTTTTAATGAGGTAAATATATTTTCTTATTCTTTTAATTTGAACCTTGAAGAATTTTTTTTTTTAATATATATATATATTTTGAAATTAAAGGTAAAAACTAAACAAAATAAATTTTGTAGGGCTTCTCACTTAACTATCTTATCATTTGGGCCTTCTCTAAAATCCAAAAACATATAAAAATCTGAATTTAATATAAATATATATGTATATATTATTCATTAATTTTTAGAATATAAATTTTTATTTTTTGAAAAATAAAAATAAAATGTGGTACTTTTGACCCATACACTGATTAAAAATATAAAAAATTTAATCTCAACTTAATTTCTACGGTTTCACTAAAGTGTATTTTAGTAACGTATTAATAAATTAAGTTTTTCATTTCACTAAATCAGGAATCGGAAGTTGACTATATTGTCTGATTAATACATTTATAAAGTGGTAAACTCAATATTTTCAATGAAATTTAAACTTATAATTTTTAAACAAAACACAAAAATCATGATCACTGGACCATTCTACTGTTGCTCAATATTTTGTTGATTGATAATGAAGAAAACATTCAGTATACATATAACATATATATATATGTATATATCTGCAATATTATACTCTCCTTCAACGAAAAATTTGTAGTATTGGTCGTATTATACCATTGTTTAGGACGTCATCTCTGAGGAAGAATTATTCTCCAAGCTTTAAATTTCTAATCCCACTTATATATACCTCCCAACATATCCTGCACATGACGCAGGTGACAAGAAAAAGAGAGAACGAAAGAGAAGTAGAGACAAAATATCTTGGTTGGGACATGTACTACCTGGTTAAAGTGGCACACCCTATGACTCGTAGAGGAAGAGCTAACCAACAGGAGCTACCTGCTCCACTGCAATCCGGTCCACAAACACAAACTCATTGACAAAAACTGGCCCAGTTGTTTTTGGGACAACCATTCTGATCTAAAAGGGTATACATGCATATATAAATGCATATTTACTCTGTTTTTAACCCACCTTTTTTGGCAATCTCTTCTTTAGACTCCTAATTGTGTTTGTGATGTGTTAGATCAAGCCAGCCATGTTTCAAATCCTTTCCTCTTGGGAGAAACCAATACAAGACTTACAAGATAGGGTTTACAAGGCATCAAGAATAATCTACTCTTTTTTGAGGTAATGAATCATCTACTCTCTTAGATGCTGATAAGACAATCTGGGAATCCTTGAGACTCTTGTGAGAATAAATGTCTTCAACTATAATAAAGCTTTGCATGAAGTTATTGTTGAGATTTTCGCCTCCCAAATAAATCCTTCGTTGTTCTACTAATGGATGACTCCTTTGAAGAAACATCCATTTACCAGTCAGTGGCTGAGATTAAAGAGAAGTTCTTCCCCCTGTTTGAACCTTGATTTGATCCCATATAAATAACATAGAGAAAGAGTTCAAAGTGTGTACAAAATATGAACAACGATTTCCCTAAAATGGTCAGTATGAAAATGTTGTATGTCAGGTACATAATAATAAAATTTATTTTCAGTTGGTCACCTCCACTATTTCAACCATTCCAGTGGTTCAACAAATAAGGGACTCAAATCTAGGCTCAAAAGAACAGAAATTCCCTCAGTGAAGTAATTAACATTTGATAGAAGTCTTTTCAGTATGTTATAGCAATGAGCTAAAATACTGCAAGGGGTTTGAGGCTAAATATTTGCAAAAGCATGTTAATAAAAAGGGACTGATAAAAACGAAGCTTGCAATGAAAACAAAATTGTACCCCAATTGATTTGTCGACAAAGTTAAAAAGGAAAGCTAAAAATAATAGTTGTTCACAACATGGTAGAGAAAAATACTCTTCAAAATTATAACACCCAGATAACTTTTCCATGATGCACTAAATTTCCCCCATAAGATAAAACACTGTGAAGAAGCTTAACACACATAAGCCTTTTTAACTCAATATTTAGCTCTTTGATTGCTTCTCCTTGGTCTTCTGAAGCTTCAAGACTTTCTTCACAATCTTTTGCTCTTCAACCAAGAAGGCCCTAATAATCCTGCAAGGAAAAGAAAAGGCAAGATACCCACAAATTTTATCTTGAATCACCAAACCCAGAAAAGCATACAATATTTTTCTATTCAAGTTCGAAACTACACCTTTCCCTGACAGCACCACCAGACAAAACTCCACCATATGCACGGTTGACAGTCCTCCGGTTTCTAGGCAATCTAGATCTCTTATATTCGGCAGGTCTCAGGTGAGGAATCTACAAACATCAATAAGAAAAAGAAAAATATATTTACAAGAGATGCATGTAAAGAATAAGACGTAGAAATGTTCTGCAAGCAACCCATACGGACCAGAGTATACACTAAGGCTTAGCACTTGTGACTTAATTAAAACAGATGGCATTAAGTTCCAGCTTCTGAAAAGCAGCTGTAAGTTCACATCTTTTACCACATTATTAATTACGATTCCATGTTTCCTAACAATAACTTATCTAAAAGAGAACCGAACAAGTTTATATAGAAGAGCAGTATGAAAAATATCAGAATGAAAGGCAGGCAGTTACAGGGCAGAAAGAACCCTCTTCCAGGTAATTAAAGGAAGACACAATCCATATAAATCGGGAAGATTCCTTGCACGACCATGATAAAATACCCTTCAAATTGGGATGGATGTATCAAAAGATAATATAGCAATAAACCATAAGGGATCAATGAAAGAGCTTTCTTCAGCCCTGCATCAAGAGGTCACATTTCTATAATAGAAATATGAATCTAAACTTGGAACCATAAGAACCTTACTATACACGTTCTCCAATTTCTTCTTACTACCAGGATTAGTCTTACCCCCATACTGACTTAAAAATAAGGTACTTTGGTCACAATCCTAAAATCATTCTACATCATCCAAAATGTTAAATACCAAGAGAACACAAGGACAGAAACCCCAAACAATCAAAAGCAGTAACAAGAAGATAAAAAGCACAACTGGAAATAAAATAACCCCGCCAAATTAAAAAAAGAAAAAGAAAAAGAAATACCCCTTGAATCCGCTTGCCGGTAACAGGACACTTGGGGCCACTTGCTCTCTTCTTGGTGCCCTGGTACACCAGCCTTCCACCTGCACACATTCCAAACAAACACCATCGTCACACCATTAACTTTCACCAATAGTACCCAGCTAAAAGGTAAAACCAAGAATAGATAGATACATATGTGAACAAGTCCACATATTCGCATAAATAGATGCAGATCCTGTACCACCATTTCGATTAATCGTATAGACTATAAGAGATAAAACTATTAGGTATACGAGTTTACATATCGCAGATGTACAATGAATGAGAGAGAGAGAGAGAGCGAGAGAAAGAGAGATTGGTTAGTACCGGGGGTTTTGACGACACGGTGCTGGTTCGATTTGGTGGCATAGCTGTGCCGCTTGCGATAAGTAAGTCGCTGCACCATTTTCGATTATTGCTCTTCTACTCCTCCTCTCAGTTGTAGGGTTTTCACAGCCGACGCAGAGAAGAGTGCTTATATACGGAAGTGGGAGATGATATAAGAGATACAAGTATTTGGTGCCCTAGATCGGAGGGCTGAGAAAAGATCTTGACATTTTGATGGACGGATCTCATTGGTCAGTCTTTTCACGGCCCACTAGGCCCTAATAATTAGAACTGAAAATACACGTGGCAACTTTTAACTGGTTGATTGATTCCAGTATATTAGCCCACGGGCCTAGAGTCAGTCGGATTCAGTATGCCCGGCCCATGAATTTGGAAAATTGGGTCAAATAATAAAAATGTCTATAAGGGATAATAGATTAAAAAAATAAATTATTAATATTTTAATTTTTTTCAACAAAAGGTTCAATATTTTTACACAGTGAGGTAAATTAAACACGTGCATATATAAATATAAATATATATATGTATATATATGAATATTTCATTTTGCTCATGTATATATTCTTAAATCTCTTTTTTTGGGTGAGAATATACTCTTAAATTCAGTTAATTTAACATATAAAATAGAATGTTAGTAGTAAATATTTCTATTAACACATGCATATATACATTAATATATACTCATTAATAGAATATACTCTTAAATCTCTTTTTTGGGCAAAAATATACTCTTAAATTTTAGAAATATCGTTATAGCTTATATATTCAAGAAGAATTATATATTTTTATTAAGAGATTGTATTATAATTAATGTATATTTATTTATTAATTAAAATAATTTTAAATAATTATTTTAAAAATAGAATAATATAAAATTAATATTAGATAACTGTAAATAATCTGTGCTAATGGAATACATATAAAAAATTTAAATCTAATTTCTAGTAAAATAGTGGAGACTATATTTTTGTATACATATAACTTTTGTAATGTAATAATGCATCTATTAACAAGGAAAGAGAGAAAATGATGGGTCCAAGTGAATTTTCCTGCTACTAAAGTTGATTCTGTGTAATTTTCTGTGGCACCAAATTAGTTGATCAGCAGTTAGTTTCGACATACGTAGAACTCTCGATATTAGCTTCAATTCAATCCGAGCGATCAACACAACCTGACTCGAGTCATGCTTTTGGAAATTCTTCGCTTTAAAGCTTCCGCTTCTTAGTATATCCTTCAGCCTTTTCTCCTTCTGCATTACATTGTAACGAGAACACGAGTATTAATATGGTCGTATTCGTTTACTACACTCTACCAGTTAAATACAGTTCGAGTTAAACTGTATATTTCTCTAATATTACCTTTGTAATGCCACGAAATGCTATCTATACTTATGTTATAGTGTAACTACATATGTTATGGTATAATCAGAATAATGATCTTTGTCTCCCAAGAATCAGAAACCAAACCTTTTGAAGATCTGCTTTGATTTCAAGCAAGAGGTCCAAATCCACAGTGCCTTGAGGAGCAACTTGAGTTTGATTAGGACCTTTTAAGCCTAAATCTGTTTCGGGTTTGTCCGATCGAAGAAATTGCCAGAAAACCCAGATTGATTCCCAAATGATCTCCCTCAGTGCTGCTGTTGTAATCATATTTCCATTCCCCTCATAACTCCCCTTGTTAAATTTCAACCCATCATCTGCATTGCATCATTTCTTCGTTATACAAATATACGTACATACATAAATACATATATGTAGCAGAGATTTTTGGTTACCTCTAATTACTGGAACTTGTAGAAAGTTATGAGAAACTTGGCGATTCTTGACATAATTATCGACCCGGGGAAGGCCTTGAAATGGCTCATTCTCTATGAATCTTTCAAGGAGCACTTGAAACAATTGAAAGTCTCCAGCAACTTGGTTATACCGACGAAGGGCTTGATGATCATGCTGCAACAATTCTAGTACTTTCCTAAATTGCCAATGCAAAATTTCCCATGAAAGACAAACATGTCCAGTATATACTGTCTCAAAATCTTTATGTACATCTCTAATAAGTCTTTGTATAGGCTCAGCTTCGAATTTTCGCTGCTTGAAAGACAATAGTTTCTGCAGGATAAGTGATTTAGCTACTTGGTTCGACGATTTCTTCGTTACGTTTGATTGAGTTTGGTCTTTCAACTTGAGTAAATCTGCATATGATTGCGATTAACATGACAAACCATGAACAAGCACCACGAGTTAAAAACTATAATTGATCTTATAAACGCAATTATATTATCGGTTACACCAGAAATATTTTGCCTTTGTCAAGTTATAAGTCCTCTCAAAAGATTTCTTTTTGAGAAAATAAAAGAAAAGAAAATCTTCGGCACCATCAAAGAAGTCAACTAAGTAACATTGTCTCCCACTAAGAATTATAAAAGTTGAAAAAGAAGATTAAAAAAGAAAGTTAGATGGGTTCAATTAGTAGGTTATAACCTACACACACACATATATATATATATATATAAATATATTGGATGAGAAGTTTCAAAAGAAACGTCAGATGGGTTCCATTAGTTGGTTATAACCCATAACTATATATTTATAACCTATATAAATGTATATATATTGGATGAACTTTTGACTCCTAAGTTGGTGAAATCTACATAACAATGTCTGAAAACATGCTGCTGAATTGCTGATCTTTTCTTCTTCTTTTTTCCTTTTCTTAAATACATATATACATACATAAATATATATAAATATAAAATTTGATGCTTAATTTATTGAGAAATCAAACAACAGAAAAATCAAAAGAGATTTAATGGAATACTTACTGATTGCATGGATGGTCTGAGAATTCAAGATGTCTAATTTCTTCATTTTGTCCCAGTAACTTCTGTAAACTTTATGAATCTCGATCATTCTATCTTTATGTTCAATTTTTACATCAATCTTTAATGGCTTTAGTTCTTCGATCATCTTGGTAGACTCTGACTCTTCATCAATGGTTGGCAAGCCGCCAGTTCTGGCATTTTTCAGCTCCATTTTCAACTGTTCTATAACTTCATCATACTCAAACATGGATTCAGAATCATCATCATCGGAATCTTCCTCTTCACAACTTGAAGCAGATTCTTCCTCCCGCAAACTGGGTTCTTCATATTCTTCTGAACTTTTTAGTCCTTTTCTGCTCTCTTCATGGTTTATACCTTCTTCTGAATCCTCCATTACAAGCATTTCCTCTTCAACAACACCTGAAATCTCCATCTGGGGGCTTAGTTCTATGAATTCATCATCAGAATCGATTAAATTATCATTCGGAAAAACTGCTACTGATTCGAAATTTCTGCTACCGAATAAGCCAGTTTCTTCTTCTTCAGTTTTATCCTCTTTCTTGACATTTTCAGATTCAAATTCTTCGCAAACTTCTTCACTTTCCACGAATTCATAGGCAACTGAATCGGGACCTTCAATCGTTCTTCGACTTATTGTTTCTTCTTGTTCTTCTACATAGCAAAATCCAGTGGGGGTTTCTTGATCTTTTTCCTCAAGTTTCTCTTCAATGGTAAGACTTTCATTAGATTCCTCTGCTTCATTTGTAAAGTTCGACTCCATTTCTGCTTTCTCCACAACTTTCTCCAAAATCTTTTTAACCATAAATCTCTCTGCAGAGTCCTCTGCTATCTCTTCACCTACAGACCCTGTTTGCAATTCAGGAAGCCCGTCATGATTATCCAAAAACAGACATGGCTGATGCACAGTCAGGCTATAAACCTTTTGTTCTTCTATGAATCCACTGATATCTTTCTCTGACAAGAACTCATACTTGCTGGTGACAGTCTGGAAAACAGAACTCTTGTTTTCCCCATTGATTTTATCAACAAAACTAAAATGGAAACCCGTTCTTTTTAAGCCAAAATCATGAAGCTCGGAATTCCCAGAACCACATGAACCATAATCATAATCATCTCTGTTTTGGGTAGAATCTAAACTGGGTTCTGACTGATTCCTCTCAATATCTTTACATGCATGTAATCTGACAGACAAAAAAAAAAAAAAACCGCCAATCAGAACAGAAACCATGGAAATTTATTCAAAAAGCAACACAAACAACACAGATACCTATACAAAAACCCGATTGTTGATCCGAAAACAGAGAATACAAAGTTGCAGAGAAAAGCCCAGAAAGAATAAAGAAGCCGAATCATGTTACCATAGAAGAACTCCTTAAAGTAGGGTTTATTGAGAGAATCGAAGTGGGTTTTGAGAGTTAAAAAAAACAAAGAGAAGAATTTTGTGGTATCCATGAAGCGATGAAGAGGGGGGATGGGTGATTTTCTTTTGTCAACATGAAGCAAAGGGGAAAAGAAATGACAAGTTTCGGCATACGGTTTCCATGTGAGTCTGCTTTTGCCACCAGATATTCATTGGAGGAAGTGGAGAGTCCACTTGCAGAAAGCGCAATCTGTGGAAGGTAAGTGTTGGGGGAGGAGGAGGAATCTATAAGACCAAATTTTGGCGAGATTTATGGGGAAAATTTTGAGAGAAAAAAAAAAAAAAAAAAAGAAAAGTCTGGTCTGAAGAAGCCGCTTTGATTTGATTTTCGTTACAAGATTTTTTACCAGTTAGAAATATGAACAGAAAGAAAAATGGAAACGGAAAGAGTCGAAGTTGTCTCCTTCCTCCATGGCCTTCTTGAGTATTTTGAAATGTTGTTTTAGTGGGTTGACACGTTTCAAAAGAGGAGAATCCTTAATTATAATTAATTTATTTTTAAAGTTTTGTTATAAAATATAAACAAATAATTTAATAATATTTATAAACTTTTGGGGTGGAGCATATCAAACTCGAGACTTGAATTATGTATTGATGTATGTATAGGTTTGACCAAACTTTCAAATAGTTTTAGTTTTCAATACCACATTTTATACTTTTCTAAAAAGGTCAAAATATAAAAGCCGAAGAAGAATATACATACACATATATGTGTATCTATATAATGCACTATTTTTTTTTTTTAACCGCAATAAGACTAATTTTGGTAAAATAATCTCGTAAATATATTTGTTGAATTAATTATCAAATTAATTCTTAAAATGTTGTATTTATAATGATTTAATATTCAATATTTTTATTACCATTTAATTTTTAATATTTTTTATTTTTTAAATGTTTAAATTTATTTTGTATTTTAATAAAAAATTAAAATGGTTAAATTATATTAAAAGGTTTTCAAATTAATTAATATTTACATTAAAAATTAGTACATTAAACTATAATAAGTACTAAATTTGAAAAATTAAATTAATAATTTAACATAAAATAAAATATGTATCTATAAACTATTAATTATTGTATTAGGTTAATTAATTTGTATATAATTTAATAAGGTTCTTGTTTATGTCAACAATAATAATTTAATTTTCAATCGTAATCAAATTAAGTATGTTGTTTTCCGCCAACTTAAATTACAATTATTCATTTGGACGGCTTAAGTCGGTGCTAAATGTCATTTCCACAATATATATATATATATATACATACATACATACATCATTATATATAATTAATCACCCATTAAAAAATTTATCGAAAATAAAAATTAGCCATACAAGAATTACAATTATTTGTCTATTATAAAATAAGCTTTTATTAATTGCATAAATATAAATATATAGAGACATGAATTTCACCTTGTTAGGAAAATCTATGAGCACTTTGGTACGATTAGTAGAGACATGCACCTAAATACTTTATTTGATAATTTTATATTAATGTTTTTAAAATTTAAATGTAATTTTAATTTATTATTAGTATTTTTTTATATCATAGTTAGTCCAATGATTTATTTTATAATTAGATCATAATAATAATTTAAAAATTAATATTTATATTAACATTTAACTAGATTATGCATTTAACCTAATCCATTACTAAACACCAACTCATGAACCAGCCCTCTTTTCCCACCAAAACGTCATCGTTCTGATTAGCTCATAAGCCCAATTACTCAATCTTCTTCAAACCAATCAGGCCTGCAATACACTAAAAAGCCCATTTTAAGCCCAAACAAGCCCAATAGCCCAAACCATGAACCACCCCTCTTTTTCCCACCAAAACGTCACCGTTCTGCTTCGTCTCTTCTTTCTTCTTCAACGAGGAAAGGGAAAAGAAAAAGAAAAGGCAAAGCTGAAGAAGACGGAGCGAAAACCATAGAGAGAGCAAGCGTGAAGAAAAGGACAAAGGAGGACGATTTGTGACTGGTCTGTCGCAGAAGAAGACAAAGAGAGACGCGACTAGGGAGAGCTGGGGCTTCGATTTTAAAGAGAGAGAGATAGAGAGAGAAAGAGCGTGAGAGAGAAAAGGAGGCTGCCAAAAGGGGTTTGCTAGGGAGGGGTCGAGAGGCGAGCAACGGGATTGGAGCTGGACTGGAGGGGAGAGTGAGCAAAAAAAAAAAAGAGGAAAACTGGGAGAGTAAGGGAGAGAGGGCTTTGTCTTTTTCTTCTCGTATCGGGCTTTAGTTTTGGTTGCATTCGGTAAAATTTTTTAACTTCTCTTTTAATTTTATGATGTACTTGTTTATGAATTTTTAGAAGAGATAAAATTAGTGCTCAGCTGAATTTAAAGTATTTTCTTTGTTGATTTTCTCTATGCCAAAATTTTGTGTTTTGTTGAATGTTAATACCTGTGATGTACTTATAGGATAACTTTTCACTCGTTTGGTAATCATGGTTGGTTCACTCAAAACTTACACAATTTAGTATTTCCATGTCTTTTGTTGTTCATGCTGACTTTGCTTGTTATTAAGGTGCGATAATTAGCATGTAACGATGAACGCCCGCCAACTGTTTGATAAAATATTTAGTAGAGACTTTTTGGTGTTTTGGCAGCAAGAATGCGATGATCATTTTCATGAACCATTGCCATTCTCTTGGTCTAATTAGAATGCTTAGGACTATCGTCGTTGCTCGAAATAAATGGAATGTGCTTTACTTGTTAACTGTGTTTTTTAGTATGCGAGTTACATATTTGGTGCTTGAGTCAGTACTAAGATTAATGTAAAAGAAGAACCACAAAGGCAAAGTAGAATGTAATTAAATAGGCTTGATCACAATGTCTCTTGGAGGACCTTAATTCGTTAATTTTGCAAGTTATTTCTCAATTCATTTCAACTTTTCTCTTTTCTTTTCATTAATGTTTACTTATTTACTGTTTAATGTGAGATTATTTTGTTTTCTTGAGCTGTTTTTGTTAGGTGAGTGTTAGAAATCGATCAGGATGACTGAAGCAGGCTTCCACTAGATCTTTTAGATGCCTAAGATGAATAGTTCTTTGTAGTCCTATGTTTACTTCCTGTTGCATTAATGCTTTCTTTTTCTTTTTTCCAAGATTGTTGCGTCGATTCTTCTTATATTGTTGTTTGATAAATGGGATACATGAACATTGATTTGAACTTTGAAGCAAATTTCCAGTTAGAAGCAGAGGATATTAAATTTATTAGTCGAAGCTGTGATATTAAGCTTATCAGTCATCCAAGTACAAATATATAATTATGAGGGGGAGTTTCCAAAGGGTTAAGATGAACTGACAAAACCATGAAAAGTTAGAAGCAGAGGATTACCTTGATTTTAGTTGTAAGATGTAACGTGTACATGTGAGTACACATGTATACTGATGTTTTTATCCTTTTTTTTGCTAATAATGTTATGCTTTACCATATCAGAAAATTGTAATTAGCAGTATAAATATCGAATTTCTGATTAAAAAGGTGTATTCAAACTTTATTTATTAAATTAATAGAATTTTCCTTTTTATTAATTTGAAATTGACAATCTACAAGCTATGTTTTTACCAAACACATGAGCAATCTAATGAAATTTATAAAATTGCATTATCCAAATAGTTCAATAACTTGTTTATAAAAAACTCTATACAGTTTAACTCTTGTGAAGGAATTGCAAGTTATAGAGCTTATAGGCTTCCACATTTCAAACAAGGCCAAACACCATCTAGCTTAATGAAAGGAGGGAGGAAAAACTTGAAGAGAGCAGCAGAGGAGGAAATCTTGACCCTCCAGGATGGACAATGCATTATGCAAGTGGGGTCTCTTAGAGGATCCAATCTAATTGAGGTAAGTTTTCATATTTTGCATTTCATTAATTTGATTTAATACAACAAGTGATTTTCTTTTCCTTAACTTTGCTTAATTTGCAACTGAATTTGGTATATTAGGTCCATTAGCAAATAAAATCACTTTAATAATAATTTATATGCCGACCATTGACATGAATGAAGATTGGCTTCTTTGAGTCCTTTTTAAGTGATTGTTGTCCTTTGTTATCGAGGAAGTGGGTTACTGTGGATTATTTATGGAATGCCAGTTTATTTTGCAGTTTCTCTGCAACTTTAAGTAATACATATAATAGGTAGTAGAATGAAAAGTACTGGATGGTCCTTGCATTATATATTGTTATCAGCAAATCTGCACAGCATGAAGTAAATGTATACATATCTTGCTGATTAAATGACTGTAGAATAAAAAGCACAAGTAGATGAGCTTGTTAGTCCTTCCAGCTGCAATGCTTCTTCTTTCCTTTCAAAAATTTACTACTGTTCCTTACATGGTATGACATAGGCCAACGTTTCTGACTCTTTTCCTTTCTTTTTTTCATATGTATCAATGTCTAAAGGTGATAGATCAGCAGGGAGATAAATCTTTGGCGCTCTTTCCAGCTAAATTCCAAAAGAGCATGTGGATAAAACGAGGTTTGTTCAAAATTAACTTCTAGTTCTACAAAAAAAATGCAATTACATGAGGTTTATCTTGCAGCGAAATGTGAAAAGGGGATTAAGTGGTTTCTTTCGTGTTTTCGTCTATTTTAAAGTGATCTAGTAATATCCTCAAACTTTTAGAATTTTATTCTTGTGTATAACTTTGTCTAGATCCATTTTTCTATCTGTGATAAGTTTTCTCTGTCCTATTTCTTGAATGCATATTTGTGGAAGTGCTTCTTTGATTCTAAAGCATTTTTTGGTGGGTTGCCCAGATGGACTATAACCTCCAATGTCACAGCATTGAGTCAATAATACATTGAGCATCTTCTTTGCTGGTATCTTTCGTCTTGGATAAACTTAATTTCTCTTATCATCCGACTTCTAGACTAGTCTTAATACCTTGCTTGGAAATCGTATTATTTAGAAAATAGGAAATGGTGTGGGAGCAGGAGTAACTTCCGAATGATGCTTTGGCTAGTTTATGCCTACCCAATTTCTATTATAAAAGATCGGGAAAAGATGTTAAGTTGCATTCCTTTTTGCAGGAAGTTTTGTCGTAGTTGACCAAAGTGGAAAGGAAGATGCGGTCAAGTCTGGTAGCAAGGTGGCATATATTGTTTGTCAAGTTCTATATTATGAGCAAGTTCGTGCACTTCAAAAATCTCCAGAATGGTGTGTCATCTGCACATTTTATCAAATGATTGACTAAAGCAATTGCTGTTTCTCATATATTTACTGCTGTTATCCTCGGACATTCCATCTGTCAAAGCTTTTTTTCGGAACATTAGCAGAAAACTGAACCTGATGCATGCTTTCTAGATTAACAACCATGGCTTGTGAGCATTACTTTGTTTATGCAAATCTTGTGACACTTTTGCTTGTGCCTGTAAGTGCAGGCCAGCGGTATTCAAATCCTCAAATTCTCTTGATGCTAATCGAAGTCCACAAGGATGCACCTCTCACCAAGAAGATGACAATGAAGATTACTCAAGTGATGATGAAGACCTTCCCCCATTAGAGGCAAATATGAACAGGATCAAGCCATTTGAGTTGCAATCAGAAGAAGATTCAGATTCGGGGTCCGATACAGATCCATAAATGGTTGAATGCAAAGCATGTTTTGTTTTACATTGGCCTAGCTAGCACAAGAAAGGAAATCTCCATTGATGATGATGATGCCTCAATATGTATTTTGCTTTTAGTTTGCCATTTTTGTTGATGATATATGTTCATCAACTCAAATTTTGCTGGTGGAAAAATCTGTACCAACTCTACATTTGATAATTTAACTTAGTTTTAAGCTTTTGAGCTTTCCATTTGATAATCTCTAAAAAATAAAAATTGAAAAATATTTTTCCCAGTGTATGGAATGATTCTTTTATTTTACTATGAACTATGAACACCGAAAATTTGTCGGTGGATTCTTATAATACTCAAATTAATTTTAATGTAATTTAAATTAATTTATAAATATAAATTTTTAATTTTAATTTAGTATAAAAATAAAGGAAATTTGATAGATGATGAAATTGAAAACAAATTTGAAAAAAATTGGTGAAAAATTGGGTTCTGAGGTTATTTTTAAAAGAAAAATAGAAAATTGGAGATCAAAATACAATTTAGAAAAGTTGTACCACGTATGATGTTCGGTCAACAACACCGACGAATCAGAACGCGTTGCGTGGCAACGGACGTTGACACGATACCACACGAGAGGCCACGCGGGCGATCCGCGTGCTCGCGATCGAACAACTCAGATTCGCTCCTGCGCACATGAACGGCCTGAATGCGTTCCCTCTCCAAATATAATCAGACGGTTAGATTTAAATGTGATCAACGGTTCATATCTATTTCCTATTTAAACGTGATCAGACGGTACAGATTAGATCGCGATGAATGACTCAGATTCACTTCCTATTTAATCGCTATCAGATGGTTCAGATCAAACGCGATAAACGACCCAAATTAAATGGAGACGGATATAAATAACCATCTTCACACCAAACCCTAACCCTAGCCGCCAAACCCCCCTCGTCGGAGAAGAAGATCCAGCTGCCGCTACCTGCTGCTGCGATAGAGCCACTTCTGACAGCCAAAAGAGGTAAAAATTTCTCCATTTGCTCGAAATTTAATTTTGAACACCTCCATGCCCAAACCGGAGCAAAAAGACAGCGGATTGCCCGAAAACTGCTGGTAAAGCCCGACGGCGCTGCCGTGGAAAATTGCAAAAACGCCTCCAATGAGACCTTTTCCAATTCCCGTTTTACATAATTTTTTCACCATTGTAATTACCGTTTTCTTCTCTACAGGTTGACCGGAACAAAACACCTAACTGTAAAAGTGAGACGGTGGAGCCGCTGTACCGGAGAGTTCCGCCGCCGATGAGTTTCGATTTTTCAATTTTTTTTGTCAAGAGAGATCTCTTGATGTGTTTTCTCGCAGGGATTGATTCAAAATCGGCCGAAAATAGCTAATCCAAGATGGACCGCTGCCGTGCCGGAATTTCAAAATTAGCCAAAAAAGGGTCTTAACACTAATTTTGAGTTTTTTTGGAATATTTATCGGTAATTGTGTTGCGCGTTTTAATCCCGAAAAAAAAAAATTTAGGGAATTCGGGGATTGCAAGTAGGCGCAGTCAACAAACTTAGATTTTTGGGCATCAATTTGAATAAGAAACTCTTACCCTATTCTTTGTTATGGAATTGAAGTCAAATTAACAATAATACGATGTTTTGTACAATTTAAAAAATATCTATAACTAAGTACGAGTTATTAAAGGAGTCAGAACCGAAAATTATCTACTGTTGTTTTTGTTGATTATTTTTATGGTTTGAATACATGATAGTATCTAATTGATCAATTTTATAGCTTTAAATGCATGTATTATTTGTTTCATGTGTTTACGGTTGAATTGGAAAAAATAGAGATTAAAAAAAATGGAAAATAGTGTGATTAAGTGAATGGATGAAATAACAACATTACTGGATATCCTGATAGATGGTGGATGGATCGAGTACATAAAGAACCATATCGTGAACGTCGTCTCATACCGGATGAGGTATTGAAATTTGATAATTTAGCACTCATACCAGACGGAGTATGGAGCGGCCCGTTTTACCCTCGTACCAGATGAGATATTAAGGTTTAGTAACATTCATATCGGATGGGGTATGAGGACGGACCGTTAATTGAAAATGTTAAAGAAAATGATTCACGCGTTATGGAGACATCCCTATGAACCCCCACAGATACCAGTAGGCTGATAAAGAAAAAAATTGTTATTCAAATTGATTACATATGAAATCATGATCTGTGTTATGTTATTGTCTCTATAAGTTATTTTGTAAATCTCATTACGGTAAGTAGATGGTAAAAGATTTGGTTTATGATAAATGAATTTGTTTAAATAAGAGCTTCATTGGTTGTTTTAATTTTTTTACCAACTTTCATTTATGTGTCGGTGAGTAGCGTGATATTCTTACTGGATTAGTTAGCTCACTCCTTATTTAACCATTTCATATTAAAAAGAACAGGATTCAGAGCCCGATCTACAAGAGGGTTGCGAGTAGGATGCTAATTTTATTTATTTTCCGTTCATTTCTTTAATTTTTTGTATTTCCTTCAAAATGGTAATTCTCGTAGCACTATTTGGTACTTTAAGTTATTGTGTAAGGAATGTAAACTCTAATTAATCATTTCGCTTCCGCACTTAATTTATGATTTATTTCGTTTAGAATTCCGGGATCGTTGCAATTCTAGTCCCAAAAATTGGGTAAAATTTTTGTTCAATCTTCAATCTTTTAAAATTTCCCATTTGAGGAAATTCTGTTTTGATGGAACTTATGAAGAGCAAACGTTGGATAGCTTAACTAATCAGATAACTAATGTATTACACATTCAAAAAAGAGTATATAAATACACTGCACAAGATCCAAATATGTGTGGACTTTTGACTTTGACTTCGTCTGTCTCCTGGTTTCCAGCCTCAAGGTGTTTCGACTCTCGCATGGAAGAAATTAATTAATTTTGAAAATCAATTGATGTATTATTAAGGAAAAAGGGGGGAGAAGGAATATCAAAATTTTTAACAACAAATTTTTTAATTTCATCTTAACTGTCTAACTTAACGTAAATTATTTAATTGTGTTATTGACAATTTTATTACAAGAGGAAGGAAAATGAGGGAGCTGGAACGCGAGAAGAGAAGAAGACAGAGGGACGCGAGAGAGAGAAAAAGGAGGCTGCTATAGGGGGTTTACAAGGGAGAGTGAGCCAAAAAAGAGAGGGAAATTCGCGAGTAAGGGAGAGAAGGTTTTGGCTTTTTCTTCTCGCCGTGGTTAAGCTCTGGTTGCGTTCGGTAAAATTTTCTAACTTCTCTTTGAATATTATAATGTACTTGTTCGTGGATTTTGAGGATGGATAAATCAGTACTGAGCTGGATTTAGAGTATTTTCTCTGTTGATTTTCTCTATGCCAAACATGTTGTGTTTTGTTGAGTGTTAATACATGTGATGTGTTTATCGGAAAACTTTTCCCTCGCTTGGTGATCGTGGTTGGTTCACTTAAAACCCATACATTTTAATATTATCATATTTTGTGTTGTTCATGTAGTTTTTGCCAGTCATTAGGGTAGGATTAAGTTATGAACGCCCGCCAACTGTTTGATGAAAGATTTAAGAGAGAGTCTTTTGGTGTTTCGGTGTGTGTTTGTGAGTGTGTCTTGGGGTGTGTACTGCACATTACTTGTGGATTGAGGCGATGAAGAAAAAAGAAAAAGAATTGTGAGCATCCCATACTTTCTCTTCAAACATTATGATTTTATTCCTCAAATTGAGGAAAAAATGATGGAGAAGGAAGATCAAAATTGTTAACAATGAATTTTTTATTTTGTCTTAACTGTCTAACTTAACATTAATCAATTAGTTGTTTTATTGAAAATTTTATTACAATTAACCCTTTCGTTTGCAAATCCAAACTAAATAAAAAGTAACGATGATATTGTCTTTTACTTTTCAATTTTTACTTACGCATGTTATTCTTTTCCCTTTTTTTTAGTCAATAAGTGTTAAATTATGTTGGAGATGAAGAGAAGCATGAATGAAGAGGAACTTCTTCTTATAAACGTATCATGTGGCTGCGATTATTGTCGTGATAGCAAAACGATGATTTAGTAACTTTTCTGGGGAAACCTTTTTTTCGTCAACTTACGAGTTTTACTGGTTCGTAGATGTGTGCAATTTAAATAAGAATTGTGAGCATCCCATACTTTCTCTTCAAACATTATGATAAATGAATTTGTTTAAATAAGAGTTCCATTAGTTGTTTTGATTTTTCTAATAACTTTCATTTATGTGTCGGTGAGTAGTGTAATATTCTTACTGAATTAGTTAACTCATTCCTTATTTAACCATTTCAGATTAAAAAAATCAGGATTCAGAGCATGATCTACGAGAAAATTGCGAGTAGGATGCTAATTTTATTTATTTTTTTAATTTTTTGTATTTATTTCAAAAGAGTAATTCTCGTAATACTATTTAGTACTTTAAGTTATTGTGTAAAAAAATATAAATTCTAATTAATCATTTCAGTTCCGTACTTAATTTACGATTTATTTCATTTAAAATTTTGAGATTGTAACAATTCTAGTCCCAAAAATTGGGTAAAATTTTTGTTCAATCATCAATCTTTTAAAATTTTCCATTTGAGGAAATTCTGTTTTGATGGAACTTATGAAGAGCAAACGTTCGGATAGCTTAACTAATCAGATAATTAATGTATTACGCTTTCAAAAAAGAGCATATAAATACACCCCACAAGATCCAAATATGTGTGGACTTTTGACTTTGACTTCGTCTGTCTCCTGGTTTCCAGCCTCAAGGTGTTTCGACTCTCGCATGGAAGAAATTAATTAAGTTTGAAAATCAATTGATGTATTATTAAGGAAAAAGGGGGGAGAAGGAAGATCAAAATTTTTAACAATAAATTTTTTAATTTCATCTCAACTGTCTAAATTAACGTAAATTATTTAATTGTGTTATTGGCAATTTTATTACAAAAGGAGGAAAAAAGAGGGAGCTGGAACGCGAGAAGAGAAGAAGACAGAGGGACGCGAGAGAGAGAGATAAAGGAGGCTGCTGTAAGGGGTTTACAAGGGAGAGTGAGCCAAAAAACAGAGGGAAACTCGCGAGTAAGGGAGAGAGGGTTTTGGCTTTTTCTTCTCGCCGCGGTTAAGCTCTGGTTGCGTTCGGTAAAATTTTCTAACTTCTCTTTGAATATTATAATGTACTTGTTCGTGGATTTTGAGGATGGATAAATCAGTACTGAGCTGGATTTAGAGTATTTTCTCTGTTGATTTTCTCTATGCCAAACATGTTGTGTTTTTGTTGAGTGTTAATACCTGCGATGTGTTTATCGAAAAACTTTTCCCTCGCTTGGTGATCATGGTTGGTTCACTTAAAACCTATACATTTTAGTATTTCCATATTTTGTGTTGTTCGTGTAGTTTTTGCCAGTCATTGGGGTAGGATTAAGTTATGAACGCCCGCCAACTGTTTGATGAAAGATTTAAGAGAGAATCTTTTGGTGTTTCGGTGTGTGTTTGTGAGTGTGTCTGGGGGTGTGTACTGCACATTACTTGTGGATTGAGGCGATGAAGAAAAAAGAAAAAGAATTGTGAGCATCCCGTACTTTCTCTTCAAACATTATGATTTTATTCCTCAAATTGAGGAAAAAAGGATGGAGAAGGAAGATCAAAATTGTTAACAATGAATTTTTTATTTTGTCTTGACTGTCTAACTTAACATTAATCAATTAGTTGTTTTATTGAAAATTTTATTACAATTAACCCTTTCGTTTGCAAATCCAAACTAAATAAAAAGTAACGATGATATTGTCTTTTACTTTTCAATTTTTACTTACGCATGTTATTCTTTTCCCTTTTTTTTAGTCAATAAGTGTTAAATTATGTTGGAGATGAAGAGAAGCATGAATGAAGAGGAACTTCTTCTTATAAACGTCTCATGTGGCTGCGATTATTGTCGTGATAGCAAAACGATGATTTAGTAACTTTTCTGGGGAAACCTTTTTTTTCGTCAACTTACGAGTTTTACTGGTTCGTAGATGTGTTCAATTTAGATAAAATCTGCTTGCTCTGGTTCGATTCTTATACATATATTCTGCTCCTCTTGAAGTAAATAGCTGCTGCTGGGCGTTTACGGTGTTGTCCGCTGCTCTCTAGGTTGTATCTTTGGATCCCAATCTCAAATTGAATCAGTCGGTCAAAAGAAATTGCAAACATATGGAGGACACATCGACTATAAGATGCAAGACATGTGGCCATGTCGGCCTGGCTGATGGTTTGGATGGCTATTATTACTGCTTACAATGTGGATCCCAAGCTGATGACATCATGGACACTGGTGTTGCGGATGAGGATTTCGTTGATAGAGGTGGTGACGCTCGCGGCGGTGTTTATCAGCCAATCCATACGCGTCGTTCCCAGCCTGTTACCCCATCACAACCTCTCTCTCAGCAGGACTCCCGCCATTCTCAGTTTTGGTCCCAGATTACTCCTGATCAACCAAGCATTCATGGCACTCATGACACACAGAGCATGCAGGTAAAAAGAGAGAAGGAAATTTATGATGCGCTTGGGCCCTCAGCCCCATCAGATTTTGGTTCGGAGGGGAATGTGGAAGGGGCCTTGGCTTATGAGGATTATTACAATGAGGTGAGGAGCAGGTATGTGATGGGCATACAGTTGATGCTTCAGTCACAATGCGAAGCTCTTGTGGAGAAGTTCAATGTGACCCCCTTGATTTGTGGGATGGTGGGTCCGGTTTGGCTTAGATTTATGGCCTTGTCTAGGGTTTTTGCAGATGTGTGGGCTGATGAGGTTATTCAAGACTCTGAGATTCAAACACAAGGTTTGTGCAGTAATAAATGTATATGCTTCTCTATTGATTTTCCTTTTAGGTATTGTTAGTTTGCTATTCCTTTCACCTAGTAGCAGCATTGTCCTTGATTCTTCTCTTGTATTGCCTTATTGGCTTTTGTAATGTGTGAATATATTGATTATTACTTTATCATCAGCAGTGATTAGGGATGTGTGTTTGAACATGAGGCATCTGATGATTTGAGTTAGAGTTAATATGGAGGTAAGGTAGTATTAAGTGTTGACTTGGAGATTGAATTTTGATGTCAAGTTTGCTTGTGTATTTCTTTCGTGAAAATGTTATTTATTTAGGAATGAACTAAAAGTAGGAAAAAAGAATTTTTTGCTATATGAATTCAATGTTTAGTGTTAGTTGGTCAAAATTATTGTTCTACCCCATATTATGTCCTAGCTTTATGATTACAATAGCTTCCAAAGATTAGGTTGTGGAAAGCTTTTGTGGAGATTCCATCTAGTTAAGCATAATCAATTAGTAGACACAGTGGCCATTTTGGCTAGACATAACCATTGTTTGGTGGTCACTTTCTTGATATCTATGTTGCCATGCTTTTTCTTGTGTTGAAGTTTTGGAGTTGACTAAAAATGTCCAATTACAGCTGGGGGTTTTTGACGTGAATGATGACTTAAAATGTTTTGAACTGAGCATTGTCAAGTTTTAAAAAATGTTGAAAGGTTATGCATCTGTTTTGTATAATGTTAATAGTGTGGAAATGTGTATGAAATACTTAGTACATTGTTTTTTTCGTCTCATGGAGTTTTGCTATTTTTGTGAGTATGATCCTAATGACTTTTACCCTATTTCACCTGCGCTTTTAGGAGAAGCTCAAGATACAAAACGTCATATTAGAACGAAGGGAGAACCTCACAATTTGTATGGTCAGAGAGCAGTGACAATATGGATTAAGTCTTTGAGAAAAAGCATACCTTTATCTTGCTCTTTAGCTATTTGCTTTTTGGCTTGTCACCTAGCAAGGGAAGCAATTTTGCCAACAGATATAGTGAAGTGGTCACTTGAAGGGAAGATTCCATATTTTGCTGCCTTTGTTGATATTGGAAGGCAGATGGGAGAGAATTCTCGTGCCTGTCCTGTTAGCGTAAGTGTTATGTTTAAGCCTTCTCAAGCTGTTTCTTCCCGGAGGTTAGAATCATTGGCAGCATCAATTGCTCAAACTGTAGGTTTAAGTTTACCTCCGGTGAATTTCTATGGGATTGCGTCACGCTATCTCAAGCAGTTATCTCTTCCTGTTGAAAAGATTCTTTCCCATGCATGCCGCATATATGAGTGGTCAATGCCTCCGGATTTATATTTATCAATAAATGAGTTCAGACTTCCTACTCGTGTTTGCGTATTGTCCATAGTAATTGTGGCAATAAGAATTCTTTATAACATACATGGTTTTGGATCATGGGAGGGGACTCTGTTAAGTCATAATTCTTCCTCTTTGGCATCTGACCCTGAAGAGAAACTGGGACCTATATGTAATTCTGATGGCAGGGGTGATCCTGAACAGGGTGCTGGTTCTTCTCACAATGTGGATGATATGGGTACAAAACCTTCCAGAAATTCATCACATGTGATGAAATCTGATTTTAGTGCTGAAGAGCTACTAAAGCACCTTGAATCAAAACGCAACGATATTGATGACTGCTACGGTAATAATTGTTTATTTATCTTTCAAGTTTTCTTTTCAGCTTCTAATATTAACTTTGTGTTTTTATGATTGAGAATTCTATGCAATGGTCATGAAACAATGTATGTTGCTGAAAGTTCTTTTATCTTAATTATTATTTTTTTCTTCTCCCTTAGAGACACATGGAATAACACATTTCCTTTACTTTTTCTGTCTGTCAACTACTTTTTGTAGAATATTCCAAGGATCTGAAGACATACTTAAAATTCTGTAAAGATGTGGTCTTTGCTGGAGTGGAATTATCATCCTTGGATAATGAATACAAGATGATAGAGGAGTTTTGGAATTTCTATGAGAACGAAAAGGTAATATCTCTTGAGTACACCTACAAATTAGGTTTTTTGAGTGTACTGCAAAATTTGTATCAACCTTAACCCTCTTTGAGAATTGAGAGTTTTTAATAGAGGTGAACGGAAGGACAGGTTTTAAGGATTTTGTGGAAAACCCACAGAATCCCGTCTTTTAAATCCCTGAAATTGGAGAGTTAGCAGGGTAAAATATCAAATCTATAAAAGTTTTTCGGGAAAATTCTCCTTGTCCTCTACATAATTATACAAAAAGATAACAAAACAAAGGATGGGTTGTAATCTTCTATCTTAGAAATAACATGTTGAAAGAAAAAAAGGTTTTGCCTCGCCTTTTACTGTCTTTTACTTCAAATTTCATTTTTTTGCATCTTGTGTCTCTTTCTCAGTACCAATCAGTTTTGTTTTTTTTTCTTTTTGGGTAATCTTTTGGAGCATTAAAATTTTGCATTCTTTGCACTTATCTGAACAATCTGAGCTTGCCATATTTTAGGTAATTAATCCATTTTGATTGTTTTTGTAATGCACTATTACTTTCCACTTAATTTCTGCAAATTGAAAAGACAGAGTTCTTGTTTTTAGATTGTTATTTTGTTCACAAGTAATTGGATTTAATCCCTTAGAATGGCATATCTTCCCATGTGCTGAATAAAAAGGGAATTTAATCTTCCTTCTATCTTGAACTTTCAGGAACTACCAAAAGACTTTGAAGATCAGTATAAGAGTTCTTTTACCCAGAGGGGATCAGATGATGACATCGAATCTCTTAATAGGTTTTCTTCACAAAATGACGAGTCAACAAATAAAGAGGGTGATTGTAGTCCATCTAATGGTGATGTTCACGGAATTGACAGCATTAATGGCAAATGTCCTTCTGGTAGATCCCTTGGCGATCAGAATTCAAACCAAACTTCAGATGAAGCTCTCAAGGATAGAGCCATTAGACAAATGAAGGCAGACATGGAACAGAATAGGTTCTGTTATATTCCACCAAGGGTCAATATTAAGAGACTTGATTACCTTCACTATGTTAGGAAGAGGGATCAAGGTTCATTGACTTACGTTGCTCATGCTGATTATTATATTTTGCTTCGTTCGTGCGCTAAGGTTGCACAGGTTGATGTTCGGATTATGCAAATGGGGGTATTGAATCTGGAGAAGAGACTAGCATGGTTGGAAAACAGAATCGACCATTGCTTGCATCTCCATTTTCCTAGCATTACTTGTGAATTCTGTGTTGATGTGTCCAATGAACCTGAAGATGTTGTCAGTAGATGATCCTGTTGGACTCTCAAAGTTAAGTTAATAAGAAAAAGCTTTTTTAGTTATATTGCCAGTTCATAACTTCCTCCTATTCATTATACTTTATATTTCTGCGTTGAATTATTGGTTTGCCTTGGCTTTGCTTTGCTTGGGTGGTTCCATGATTTTACATGTTAGCTCTGCACGGTAGGGCCTGGATCAGAATCCACTTGAAAACAAATGGTTATACTTACTATTATGTGCTTAAAATTATATCTCAGTATGAACCAGGAGTAGTGATCTTACTAAGGATTAAGATCACTGTATTATATATAAATACACTCACAATTTAATAGATATTGCTAGTTAATTAATTAAATAACTATTGTGTAACAAAGGGTTTTGTTATCATTAAAACTAGGGGAGGTGATGGCTTTATTTCATTTCACTTGTTTAATCTTATCTTGAAACTATAATAGAGATTGCTTTTTTTTTTTTATTGAAGCTTATCCACCCATGATTCTCATGTATCATATCTCCTCCTATTCTCTCTGTGAGTGCATATATATATATAGTATATGTATATGTATATAGTACACCCAAATTTTGCAGGGTTGTGTGCTCTTATGTGGTTATCCACTGGCTCTCCCAAAAACAAAAAAGTGCCAATTGGAGAGATCATGGAATCTGGTTCTGTGAATTTCTGAATCATCAATCATGCATGCATACTGCCCCAAATTTGAAGGGCACAAACTATTCTTCTTTAATTTTTAACCATTTCATTTTGGGGGTATTAAAATCCCACTAGCTTTCTACTTGTAGGACTCCCACTGCCTTTATCAAATTAAAATCCCCAATTGTTTCTCCTAAACCCTAATTGGTTTGAGTTTGTTGATTACCTTCAATTCAATTGAAAGAAATTAATTGCAGCCTGAAGGAACATGTACATTCTAATTGGTTCCACACATGTTAAATCATTTTAAAAATTTCTTAAAAAAAAAAAAAAATGTACATGCATGCTTTGCATAAAAATTAGATTTGATAAGCAAAATTTACCGATAAATCTTGTTCTCTCTCCCTTTTTAATGGATGGACAAGCCACTACTTTTAGTATTTATATGTATGAGCTCTTATAACACAAGTTATAGGTCAATATTTTCAACAGTAGTGTAAATTTTATAAAAGAAAAAAATAAATTTACACGGAAAAATAAGAGTAACGTCATTTTTCCAAATGAATATTATTCTACAATTTTAGAAAAATTCACAATAAATTAGATTTTTATAAGTCTCCAATGACTACTATATCTGATAGAATAATTTGAGATAAAAAAATATACATTTAAAATAAGATAAGAAAAGTAATATTATTAGTAAGTTTATAAGGGTAGTGACAAAGATCGGTTGATGGGATTCATACCTAATTTTGGTGCCAATCGACTTGTAATAAAAGAAATTTAATATGTTTAAAAAAATTAAAATTATCTTTTTTAAAAAAAAAGAGTTAAAAAATTAAATATTGAAATATATTTACTGAACATGAAAACTCTCTTATATCATGTGGTAATTCAGACTTCTCCGACTACATACACCAAGTTGTAAATTCTAAAGTTTCTCGATATATTCACATGTTTTATATGCACATAACATTACACGTGTATATTACATACTAACTTACTCTCGACTTGCATATATTATCCAACTCAATTAACTCTTTTTAGAGTAGTTAAACTCATATATGTATCTAAATATATGCAATTGTATATACATTCGTTCTCTCAATCTTACTAAAAAAAAAAGTTCATATTTTAATAAAAATTATGAAAACATTATTCCATAAATCTAATAATTTTTTTTACCCTCTCTCTCTCTCTCTCCCTCTCACACACACACATATATATATATATATATTTAAACAAATACAATTAAGTATATAAGATTTTTACTTTTAGATGAGGGCATGAAAAAAAAATCAGAGGACCAAATCCAAAATCACACTAAATCTAAATTTGATATCTTGCAAACCCTAACTTTAATTTGTGTCATTTTTGCACAAGATGCGCGTGCTCCATTGATGATGACCAATGTCAGACTCACACATTTTTTTGGTTCATATCCATTAAGAGCCTTTTGGACCATTCACATTTCAATTAGATTTTGTACTCCTCTCTTTTACTTTCTTTATTTTATTTTCACACATTCAAAATCCCAATTTCACAAATTCAATTTTGAAAATTCATTGTTAATTTTCATAGATAAATTTTTTTAAAATAAATAAAAAAAACCCAAAATTAGTATTATATTATATTTATTAATTACTACTTGATAGGAGAGATTAATATAAATTTTTTTTTTCCAATAAATTAAAACAAATGCAAACAAAAGTGGTGATTAAAAAGAAAATAAACAAAGATTTTATTCCTCAAAAAACAAGTGTCTTCTCAAGATTTGATGCCCTGAATTTTGTTTTCTAGTATTCTAATTACCTAAGCTAGTCATGATTATATTAGGCTTAATTTTTGAACCCAAAAAAGACAAAACATCAAATCTACCTTCTTCACACTATTCTTAAGTAATCAATCCATCAATTCCCATTCATAATTATCATTTATATGTGTGTATATCATCCTCTTCGTACATATATGTATGTACACATTCTTCTCAAGAAGCCGAAAAGGGGTGTGAAATTTCTCAATTTCAGCATGTGGGTTCCTATAGATTAAGCTGAAAGTATGTATGGTACTGTTGTATAGGATACAAGTTTTTGTTCTTAATTCTCTTCTTGATTCATTGTACACAAAATTAACACTTAGCATCTTTTATATTCTAATAACATAATTAATCTCGTAATCAAAATACCCACGATTTACATAACCCGAATTGATTAAACACGTATCTAGATTCAATCGATGAGATTTCTTTATTAAAAAGTTAAAAATATTAATTATTAAAATAAATAATAATCGATTAACGTAAATATTGTATAATTGTTATATATTATATATAAAGTGATTGTGATTTGTAACTTGTTGAAATCCATTATAATTTTTTTTTAAAAAAATATATATAATTTTTTTTTAGAAAATTATAAGCCATGTATCAATCTTGTTTTTTTTTTTTGTTCAATCCATTCATTAAAAGCTGCCCCTAATTATTACAAAATGGCGCATATTTTTGGGTATCTTAGTCAACTTTTCTTCATGTATTTGATTAATCTTCATATTCCACACTAAATAACATATATAATATATGATACAACCTAATAAATTATACTTGTGAAAATATAAGAAATCAAAGTAAGAAATAAATTGAGTAGAAAATTTCAATTGTTCTTTGAAAATAATACGTTGAAACTTGCTGAATACGAGGGAGATTCATTAAGAAGATAATTATTTCACTAATTAATTAATTAATTAATTAATTAAAACACTTAGTGTCGCCGAATTTTCTTCTTTGATTTTGTGTATCGGCAATCTTTGATTTTTGTATAACCCGCGTGATATAAATGATTCTGGCTGATTAAGTACCTAAAAGTTGACAAGTCAACTTGCAAGATGCATGCAGAACTAAAGTAATTTTGTAATTATCCTCTAAATTATAATTATCAAATTAATCTTAATATATATATATATATTTAAAAAAATTATAATTTAATTATGGATATTTTTTTTTACCAAATTACAAACTAAATTGTAATAAATTTCAAACTTAAAAACCCAATTTAATATTTTTTTTCTTTTTTCTTAATAGATTAGTAATTGATATCGAGTGTATAATTCAAAGTAAAAATACTGGTCGGCGAATGCTGTCTTTTCTTTACCGATGAATCTCTATTCTCACGGTCAAGTGCTGAATGATTTTCGATAATTTCTCACTGACGATATCATAAGCAGTATCTTTACTCAGAATGTGTACGACCGTATCTTAATTTCTTTTGACTTTTGTCTCTTCTTGTATAAAAAAAAAAATTAAAGTAAAAAATACTTATTATTTTTACAATAACCTTAAGATTTTAATTTTTTTTAAAAAAAAACTCAAGGGAAAAAAAAGCACATTTTAATTTAATCATAGCCAATTATTCTTTTTAAAAAAGACATATAACTATTAAAAATGTAATTTTATTTTATTTTCTTAGAATATTTAACGTTAATATTAATATTATTTATGTAACTTTTACCAATTTCAGCATATCTAAAAATAATTTTCACCTTAAATTCTAAATTTTTTATGAGTAAAAAAATTAAAGATTACATTATGTAGGTAATTAAAAAAAATTAAAGAAAAATATTAATAAAAAAAATTATAGAAGAGAAATTAATTTATATAAATTAGGGTTCAAAATTAAACCAAAACCTGTGTGATTTGAAGGAATGGGAAATTCACATTTTACAGTACTACTACTCGCTCTCTGCATTTGCCACGTGTACCTTTTTCAGACAACTGTCCCAGCTAATTCCATTATCGCTCGATACATTCTTACCTTTCCCTTCCATATATTTACCGCCACCTGAAAGCGGTAAAAACTTCGAGTTACCTCTCGTCTAATGAACACACAGTATCTCTGCTTAATTTTCTCAGCTAATCAGTTGTATAGTTTATTGTGTAGGTAATTAGCAGAATGGTAATTTGGTTCTTGAGAGGGTAGAAGTGGGTGAAAATTGAGGTGGGTGGATCTATCTCGAAAGACCCATATTTGTTTTACAGGCACATTACATATATAATATATATATACGCATATAGATATTACTGTGTTTCTGTCTGTGGGGGGTAATTAGCAGAATGTTAATTTGGTTTTCTTGCGAGGGTTAGAAGTGGGTGAAAATTGAGGTGGGTGGATCTATCTCTAAAGGCCCATATTTGTTTTACGGGCATATATATATATACTCATATAGATATTACTGTGTTTGGCTGTTTCTGGGGGGTATTCCTCATTATAACCATCATTATCACCATTGAACTCTTTACCATCATGGCATTTAACTCTTAAAACTTCTTCTTCCTCCTCATCCTCAGTAGCCCATTACGCAACAATCCAAAAACCCTACCCTTAACTCTCCCACTCCAAATTAGGGTTCTTCTTTTGATCT